TGATTTTAAAAAACCTTCAAGGTCACACTTCTCATAAATGATAGATCCAGGATTTAAAGTCTCATAGCACAGTTCTGGATTAAAATTCTTCCAGCTGTGCAATTCTGTCTCCCCTATTATTATCCTCCTCACAGGGCAACCTCTGGCTTTCACCTTGAGTTTCCTTTCTATGTGCCTCCATTCTCTTTTTATTAACTCTTTCCTCACTCCAAACCTTTACAGTTGCCTTTACTTGAAGAGACAAAAGTTCTAAGTTAAACACTTATTTGTTCAGCACGGCATTCAATAAGACACTGAACCCCACCAAATATCACCTACTTTTGCTTCTAGCCAACCTGCAGAAAGGCAGCTAATCGTTAGGGAGAAATGTCATTTTTTCAAAAACAAACATTGGCTCCAGCCTTTCTGCTGGTTGGCAAAAAGCAAGAGAAGTAAGTGATATTTGGTGGAGCTCAGAGTCTTTTTCCTCTCACTCTGCCAGAATTAAGTCTTTCCATCTTACAGTGTCCACATTGTCTGACAGAATGACTTTTACTGAGCCTTTGTTCTATATGACCCCTGTGAACTAGTCATTTGGAATATTTTAGCAATTTAACCTCTGAATAGGTGTTTTGCACATGGGCAGAGGTGGAGGGGAGGCAATTTCCCCCCCAGGAAAAATTTGGCCACCCAGCCCAAATGTGACTAGTAACAAAGTTGAGACTCCTCCAGAGAGATGATAAAGGGATGAACACGCTTGAAAATTTTTGTAGTTTAAACTTCCAGCAGATCCTGGTTTAAACTGCCCTAACTTGACTATAGCAATGTTCTTCTACCTTGGAGGACCCAGAAGTTTGATAAAATGGTTAAGGCAGCAGAGAGGACATTGTGACCAGCTCCGGGTATGTGTCAGACTATAATATCAGGTGCATATGTAATATATATGTTATTATTTAATAGCATATAATAAAACATTATATATAAATTAGCATATAATATAACACCAGCTACAAATTCCTAAGAGGTTTGCAGCCTGTATGCCTTTCAAAATCTACCTGTGGGTATGATATTCATGTCAGTATAGTACACCCATTAGCAGAGCTCTAAAACTAGCTTCATGAAAATAATGATGGAATTTTTTTCGCACAGAGACTTGTTCTCCCTATTTCTCCTCATTGCTGAGTTGATTTGAAAAAATAGAGCTTTAGTTTTCTGGACATCACTGCTCAGGGATAAGGAATTATTAGTAAACATTGGTTATAAATAAGACCTTATTATATTGTGGAATATATAAAGAAAATTCAGCAATGTTTAAGAAACTTGCTTAGTTCCTAATACAAGAACTGCAAATGTCCTATACAGTTGTAGATTCTCAACAAATATTTGTTAAATAGCTATAGTCTTCCTATTTTGATTCCAGAGATTGGTATCAAATCCCCATGCTGAACTCCAGGGTGTTTTCAATCTCAGAAACTCTTCAGTTACATCACAGCCTGAATCAAACTACCCAAACTACTTGCTAGTTTTATCTATAAACCTCTATCCTATTCAAACCTAGATAATTAAAATTTCAAAAATACTAATCTGTTGCCATGAGTCTTTCAAAAGAATAAAAATCATATAAACTTTATGGAAAGAAATTCTCAAGGAGGCCAAATATTTTTTTTATTATTTTTCAGACAGATTTCCAAAGTGTTAGGTTTTACTAATATGATTTACAGTAAGAAATTACATTGCACAAATTGGAAAAAATTAAGAACAAAGATGAACTTTATTAAAAAAAATACAATATATGTAACAGAATCTGTTACCAGGAATCTGATGCTAGAACACATGGAATTTGCCTTTTAGATATTAGACAAGTCAACAAAGTTTGCCAAAATGTTGAAGTATGCTAACAACCCCCCTTTTTTCCATCTATTTCGTGGCTTTCTGCTAGAAATACACAATGCATTTAACAGTCTCTATTGATATTACTTTACCTGTAATTAAAATAAGCTCTACAGAGTTGATTTGTTTGTTAAAGCTACCTAATCAAATTACCCTACTTCCCTTTGTTTTTTGCCCTGTTTATGGACACACCTTACTCTCCTAAATATCTATTGTCCTTCTAAGTTCATCACTTCTCAACTCTCCCATTGCCATTGATTTTTTTTCTTTTATGTGAAATCCTCTCCCTCCCATGAAGTTCATTTCAAAACAGTTATGCTGAGATAGTATACTACAGTGGTTAAGAGCATTTGGTTTTGGCATGAGATATTTCTGGAGCTTAGTCCCTGTCTTGACACTAGTTGGCACTTGAGACTTCTCAGCCTCAGGCAAGGTGGTTACTCCTTTAAGCCTCCATCAGTATTCCAAGTCCTAAAATTAAAGCTCCTTTTCTAACAAGCTGTTATCTTGGAAGGGATGCATTCTCCAGAACCTTTATTATATCTCATTGGCTAGAACAGGGTTATAGGGCCAATTCTACATTAAGAGCAAAACTGGTATATTTTGTTCTCCCTGTTATATTAGAGGATGTTGAGGGGTTGAGAAAGAAGGCAGCTATAATAATGCCCACTGAGCCACCCTTCAATCTGCCATGGTAGGTATCCATCAATAAGTGTGGGAGCTGCACCCATATAGGCTTGATTTAGTGCCTTTATTCAATTTTAGCATATTAAGTATACACATTTACATACTCTTGGTAGGTGGATTTATGAGTTTTATTATCTAATTACTGAAAGAAACTTCACATATAGGCCAGAGGTCTTAAAAATGATAGTTGCAAGGAACCTATGATTTCAATATATTAATAGAAATCAAATAATCACAAACTATGTCAGTATCACACATATTCTGCAGTTAAAATGATCAAACCCCAACAGATCAGACTAAAAGTAGCCCTAAAATGTTGATTATCCAAAAGATTTAAGGCTGAGCCTCACCTGCATTGTATACTAGCATAAATCATCATTTTCTCTGGAAAAACACTCAGAATTTAAAATATGAGCACCAAGCATGTAGAAATGAAAATAAACTTCTATAGATTTTTAGCAATGTTTAAATTAATGAAATTCTCAGTTCATTACTTTAAATTTTTCAGTGAATTTGATAAATATTTAGAGCTTTCCTATGAACTTTTCTTATCTAGGAGGGAAAGAAATGAGACGTCAGTAAGGAAACACTTAGTCCTTTGTCACAGAAAAGTTGGCTGAAATGATACATAGAAAATAATGTGATAAACTAAAATGCATATTTCTATCAGTCAGTACTACTGGAAGATGTATGGGTGGGGCGGGGCATCCCTCCTGTGGTTTGGAGAAGATAGTATTTGAATAAGTTACCCAGGGTGAGAAAATGCCTGCAGAGTTGGAGAAAAGTAAAAATATTTTTAACCTCTCCCAGCTTGAAGCATTTTTAAGATTCTTTTTCAATTATAACTATAGAATAATTGCATCTTTGTGAACTACTGAAGGATAAATGTACTAGAGATTAGATGGTCTCACCATAAGATGAATTATTTAATGTGTTCATCAGAAGAAGCTGTGCTATAATTTGGTCATAAATTAACTCAAGAATTTCAGTGGCTTAATATATTAAATGTTTATTCTTTTGCTCATACTAGAGCTACAATGGGTCTAATGGCTTAGTCTTAAGGGATCTATCTTTCAAGCAATGACCTAGAGATCCAGTGTGTTTCCACTTTTGTCCTCCATCTCAGCACAGGGTTGCCAGGTCACTGTAGCAGTGATATAAAGAGCTGGATCTTTTTTTTTTTTTTTTTTGTGGGACCCTCACCGGCGGCAGGGGAACAACCGGTGCTGCAGAGGCTGTGGGCAGCGCTCAACCGCTGCACCACCAGGGGAGGCCCAGTGCTGGATCTTTATGCAGGTGCTTCATACTGTATTGGGCAGGAAATGACTGCAATCACTTCCACTCATTCCATTGGCCAGAATTAGTTGGTGACACCATCAGCAGCAAGATGATGTGAAGTATAGTTTCCTGTGTTGCTTAGGAAACAGAGGGGAAATGAATCTCAATGACCACTAGTAATGTTTTCCACATTTGATAAATACATGTTTTTAAGGAAGGAGTGTGTGAGCCTCAGAGAGCAACTTCTTTGAGCTGTAAGATCTTTCCCAGAAATTATGAATTAGATGTTTAATAAGTAGGAAAATTACTTTTGAAAAAATCATGTTATAGAGAGTACTTTGAAGACTGATAGAAATTCTTTGTTCATTATTAAAAACATAGGAATATTGCCTACAAAATCAAATATATTCACATATACTTGTGATATATGTGTACATTATAGATTGGATAATGACTAGATGCATTATCCAATTCATTATCAAACTCTTTTCTTTGGAACTTCATATCTATGTAAGTATCTTTCAATGCTTGGTAATCATTGAAACAAAATGTCTAAAATCTAGAACTCTTTGTACTTATATAAAAAACATTTACTAGAAAGCAGTGGTGGTAGTCAGAAACCAATAGGACTGCTTAGTTTAGTTACAAAAGTCCATCTAAGCAAGTGGGGTTGCAAGATCAGAAATAGGAGCCTGGTTATTATAAAGGTCAATCTAGGGAGAGTAAAATCACAATTATGACAAAAAAAAATTCAAGCACTCAACAAGAATTTATTTTAGGGATTTACTTAGATATTAACAATACATTGTGACAATATTGTTAACATTCCTGAGCATTTATTATATGCTTAGCACTTACTTCTGTGTGTATGAACTTATTTGTTGACTCAGAGTCCAGTCGTTTAATACGATTTTTGTCTACATGTTTGTACGCCAAGGTTGCAAAATATATCCTTCAGATCCAGCATCACTTTTTTTTCAGTGTGCAACAATTGGGTTTGTTAACAAAGAGGAGATTGGGGAGCCAGCATCATTTTTATATTCATCATAGGGATAAATGGAGGTACAAATAATCAGAGTGATCCTATTGTTTATAAACACACACTACCTTTGTGTAGCTTCAAGATGGCAAGGTGATTACATTTTTTTTCCTTCCCAGATTTCCTTGTTGGTATGGTAGCATGTAATCCAGTTCTAGCCAAAGAGATGAAAGAGAAAATTTAGAGTTAAGCTTTAAATCAAGTCCTCTAAAGACCACTTCTATCTTTCTATTTTTTAATTGAATTTTTTATTGAGGTAATGTATTTTTTTATTGAGGTAATGTAGGTTTACCACATTATGAACTAGAGGTATAGGTGCACAAGATATGAGATATGTTATCACACCACACCTGCCACCAAAGCACCCATAATCCTTCACATTAACCACTGGATTCCTCAGCCTTTTGTTCTCTGCTCCCACACATTTTCCCTCTAGTAGTCTCAATTCTAATTCATACTTCTAAGGATTCCTTTGGTTTGGTTAAGTCTGTTCTTTGTTTCTTTGTATCTAAATTTGAGTACAATCACCTAGTATTTGTCTTTCTCTTTCTGACTAATTTCACTTATCATAATCCTCTCCAGTTCATGAAAATCAGAACCGCAATGAGATACCACCTCACTCCTTTGAGATTAACCCACATCGTAGAAATCCAGAAACAACAAATGTTGGAGGTGTGAGGAAAAAGGAACCTTTGTACACTGTTGGTGGTAATACAGACATAGGTAATCAGAACCTATGGAAAACAATATGGTGGATACTTAAAATATTAAGAATAGATATATCTTATGGGCCATCAATTCCATTTTTTGGCATTTATCCAAAGAATAAAAAAAATGCTAATTTGAAGGGACATATGCACTCCTATGTTCATCACAGCACTATTTATAATAGCTAAGTCATGGATACATCCTGAAGTTTTAAATGCACATTCTACATTATAGATACAAATTCCTTGTCAAGATATGTGCAAATTTTTCTCTGTAGTGGATCACGCTTTTTCTTCATTTTGATGAAGTGCCTTTTGAAGAGAAACATCTTAAAATTTTGATAAGGTCCAATGTATCTTTTTTATGAATACACATGATTATTGTCATATCTTAGAACTTTTTTAAAAAAAGATTTATTTATTTATTTTATACAAGAACCAGAGTACAGGCCACATGCATGGGAGGGTGAGAGGATTCATCAGAGTCAACAGGGAACAGAACAGGCAGAGTGATGAAATACAATGCTAAGGGGAGCAACAGGGGAGACAGGAGAGGTCTGCGGCGCCATGTGGGCCCCCCGATGGCCGGCCGGGATAGAACCGGTACTTCAGAGGCTGCTGACAGTTTCACAGTGCGGTGCTCAACTGCCTGCGCCACCAGGGGAGGCCCCATATCTTAGAACTCTTAATCCAATCCTACATTAAGCTTTCTTCTGTGTTTTCCTCTAAATGTTTTAATTTTATTTTAACATTTGGATGCATTTTAAGTTAATCTTCCATCAGGTAGAGCTCTAGATTGAGGTTTATTGTCATTATCATTTATGAATATCCAGTTATTTCAGCACCATTTGTTGAAATTACTTTCAATGTTCCATTGAATTGCCTTAGCACCTTTATGGAAAATCAGTTGATCATATTTCTGTGGGTATATTTCTGGACTCTTTATGCTATCCCATTGATTTGTGGGCATTTATTCTTTTACCAATATATGGAAGCATAATGAAAATAAGTCACAGAAATAGGGGGCCATATAGAATATTTCAGTAATTGAGGAAATAAATGATGTTGTCTTGATATAGCTGGTAGCAGCCAAATGGGGGGGTGGGTTATCATACTCTAGTATAGCCAGAAGAAAGCTGTTGCTGTTCTCTGAGACTAAAACACCAGGGGGGGTAGATGGTTTGAGATGAATAAAGAGTTTTGTAGAGGGCAAATAGCATTTCAGAGTCCAAAGAGTGGAGGGCAGATGTGAAGATGGTTATGTGTATGTAAATATATGTGTGTGTGTGTGTTTATTATGAAAAGGGTACCTACACAGACACAGATGGGCAGTCTTGGGGCCAGAGTTGCTTACTTTTATATATTTGAGAAGAAAATTCAGGGTAGAAATTGATGCTGAAGATATGCATTTGGCTGTTCTCATAAAATATTAAGATTCACAGGATTGGATGAAGTAATCTAACATGCTTATACAAACTGTATGTGTGAGACCAAGATGTAGGGCACACAAACATTTGGACATCTAGGAGAAAAGGGATATAGAAGAGCATAGAGAAGGTTTTCTGGAGTCCAAGTAAAAAAAAATTCATCACTTTTCTATTAATGGTTTCCGATAGGATGATAAAGATCAGGCCTGAGAAACCATAGTGAAATTGATAAAAAAAAAAATTTTTGGTGTGGTGGGTTGATGAAAACATACTTGGGATTGATTTGAAAATAATAGGAGGAGTTGTTTTGTGAGAGTAACTCGTGATTTGCTGTAATAAGTGGATAGTAGCTGGGGTAGAAAGTGGGATGGTAAAGGCAGTTTTATATTAAAGTGGGACAAATTAGAAGTGTGCTAGTGTAATTTTGAATGATCCAAGGGTGAGGCTGAATTTGTTGCTTGCAAAAAGTGACTACTGTGAAAGGATATGAGATGTCATGCTCCAGCGCAGGTGTTGACATCAGGTCTTAGAAAAGAAAGGTATGCAGGTGAGTTGGAAATTTTGGCAGCAGAAGTATTGATATTCTCTCCTGGTTGCTCTTATTTTTCTCAGTGAAATAACAAGGAATTTATAGAAACTGAGCTTGAAATAGGCAGCAAAGGTATTGAAAGTCCAGGAAAGAAGAGAAAGTATGAACTCATCAACATGGAGAATGAATGTATTGACAATGGAATTCAGGAAATGTCTGGTTATCACTAAAGATCTTGTAGACTATTTAGCTTGGTTGCGTTTTTTCTCTTGTCATCTTTAACTACCCAAATGCAGGTGCAGAGTAAGTGAAGAGTTGGATTTAACCAACTAGGACAACCACGATGGCAAGAATCAAAAGTAACAGAGTAAGGGAGATAAAAGGGAGTAATTAAAAAGATATACCACATACTCTAAGCCAGGCAAAGAGAGAGGTGAAGGGGTTCATGAATGAAAATGCAATTCACTTTGTGAAGATACAGATTAGTAATTAAACATTTGCAAACTACTAGAGTATGAAGGCAATTCAGTGGATAATGGCTGACACTTTAAAAACAAAATAGAATAGGATAAATTAGAATTACAAAATACCAGAATGCATCACAAGTAATGTAAACATTGTTTAATGAAGTATTTTAGTTCTATATATTCTATACAGAACTTTCTAGTTGTATACAAACATTTGTTACACATACACACATTTTATATCGCAAAACCCAGCAACATGTTTTTGAGTGTGGGTCCTGCTTGTAACTCTTTGTAATCTACCTAGTTAAGGGGAGGAGGTTGGTAAAGTTCTGGGCATATCTGTTACTACAAATGCAGCTTTGCTGCTACAGTTTATAACTCTTCAACTCTATTAGGCTCCAAATATTGGCACTCTCATTCAATTTAGACCTATAGGCAGGGGTAGAAAGTATCTGTCTTAGCAGTGCCATCTTCCTTTCCATCTTAGCTTTCTTATTGCTGAGGTCAAGTTTCAGTTTGTATTTCTCTATCAAGACCTTCTTGTTGAAAATGACAAGATGTGATCAGAAACTACCAAAAAATATCTGGATTTCTTGTCATTTCCCCTACCATTGCAACTGCAGTAGAAACATGGCTTATGTTTCAAGATACAGCAGGTGAATGCTTGGCTAAATGTTTCACCACCACATAATAAAGATCAACAGGACTCTAGTCTATGACACGTGTGTTCTCCTTCCTAAGGTCCTGCTATGTTAATTCCACATTGTACCATTCTACTTCCCCTTACCAAATTCTGTTTGAGGCAGATAGTAATCAGCCAAACACAGCAGAAAATATAAAAAGCAGTTGCTTAAACAAATGGGCATTTTTTCCCCATGAAACAAAATAGACCCCAGGCTGCAAAAGCACCTCCTCAATGCCACCAACTTCCAGAAGTCATCTTTCTACTACTGCATGCATCTTTGGTTATCTGTTTTCTATCAGCGTTATGCCTATTTTTTACTCTTCATTGAACTTCTGGCAGTGGGACTCTGAAAACTGTTTTCCAGACTCTTTTGGCAGCATACTTCTTGTTGAATTCTGCCCAAAAGGAGACACTGGTAGAAGATTTTAAAGTGGGAGGAAGGAAGAATAATTCTGGCTCTGAAAATATTGGCTGTTACTCTAGCAGCGGGTGGTTGTAAGAGTAGTGAAGACCAGATGGCTGTGCATTTATTCCAGTGGCCAGCTCTTTATGGATCCCAGCTCTGGCATGAGGAAGAGCTCTTTGGATGTTCTAGCTACTGCATGCTAGAAAGTGCATGCAAATAGGCTCCATTATTGACATAACAGTTTCCTGATTTCAGAGTGACACCTTTCCTGCCTGCTGGCCCTTCACTCAGATTTAAAGTTTTCCTGTATTCTCTCTGCTTGAATACTTAAGTTTTTGTTTGTTTTTGTTTTCTTATATAAAGCCCGAGTGATCATTGATAGCAGTATATGTATCTCAGCAAAAATATGATTAAAAATAAGAAGCTGAACTGACTAAACAAAATGATGAGAGCATTACCAGTGGTATTGTTTCTTTTCACAATTACTTTATTTTTTTAAAGATTTATGTATACAAGAGCTGGAGTACAGGTCAGAGGTGTGTGTGTGGGGGGGGGGAGATGGGGGGGTGAGAGGATTCACCAGAGACAGAGTGGGGAACAGACCGGCAGATTGACTGAAAGACACTGCTGAGGGGAGCAGCGGGCAAGTCAGGAGAGGTCTGCTGCACCATGTGGTTAGCTCCCTGGCCGGGGATAGAACTCGTGCTGCAGTGGCTGTGGATAGCTTCATAGGTTGCATCTTAACCCCTTACGCCACCAGGGAGGCCCTTCACAATTACTTTAAATATTATCTGTTTAAATCTAGGAGAGTATGCCTTGGAAGACAGAGCTTGGGAAACCAGTTAGACACTGATTCAGACCATTATGTGGTAATGATGGTGGAAGGAGGATGAGACGATTTGGGCAGGTCTGATAGAAAATAACATGCTGAAG